CCCCCCCCCCCCCCCCCCCCCCGCAGCTCTGGATGGCTGCATTGGCTCAGGCTGCTCCTGCGCAGTCATTGCCTGCTGCCAATTGGGCAACACTTCTGACAAAATTACCTTCAGATTTTCTCATTAGCTGAGTCTCCAATGAGCTTGTTATGGGGAGCCTCCATTTCGCTTTTGCTCTGACAGCTCATTCCCTCCTGACTGCCATATGGCAGCAGTTGGCTGCCTGTGCCAGGGAGGGGAGGGGAAGCCCCAGGCTGGGCTGGGCTGTGTTTTTCTTCTGGGGTGAAGCCACTTCCAGGGCTCCCCTATTCTCCCTGAGCCTGAGCTGGAGGAAGGAGCCAGCGGCTCTACATCTGGCCTCAAAGGCCGGGCCCCTGAGCTCCTACTCCAGCCCAGGCCCAGCCCAGCCTGGCTGGAGACCGTCTCCCCCCTGCTCCCCCAGCCCTGCCTCAGCTGACATCTGGGCCTGGGGGCCTGGGAGTATCAGGTGGCCCCTTCCTGCAAGGCGATGGAGAGGCTCCCATTTTGGAAGGAGGCAGGACAACTACATAGAGGATCTGCGAAGGCAATCCACAGGCCCACCATCTGTCCCGCTTGCTCTGATGGTGTGAAGATGCCCATTAGCTGGTGTCAAAGACCAGAAGGCACGACTCCACCCTGGGGCACCAGAGCCCAGTGCAAGGGCAGCTTCTGCTGATCTTCTCTTGCTCCCTGCCCAAATGGGTGCTTCTTAAAGTGGGAACCATTTGAAGCTAGGGTAGGGGTGGGGCCCTAGCCTGCTGCTAATAGCCACCTGAGGCTACTGAAAGTGTGCCAGCCTGGGATGGCAGGAAAAGCAGGGAGAGAAGGAGGGGCAGTGCCAGTCCCTGCACCAAAAAGACCCACTTCCCCCATAAAGTGGGCGATGAGCCATTCTTCCTGCTTCCCTTCCCTTCCCAATAGTATTGCCTGGGAAAGCAACCCCACTGTAGTACAGATACTCCCCTGGTGGCTTCGGTACAAGAATCCAGCGGTTTTCCAGAAGATCCCTGGACAGTTTGTAACCCTCCCACCCAATTCAGGAGCACACACGTGTCTGTGTGCATGCATGGGTGTGATTAGACTGTAGAAATGCAGGTTCCAAGGGCACCTCTCTGCAGGGGGCAGAGCTACAGACAGCAGCCCCATGGTGAAGCTATGGGCAGGTTTGCTGTGGGTCCACCAGCTTCTGATCTTCTTCCATGCCACTTCCTTTGCAGAAGGGCCCCCTGCGCGGAGGACACTGGGAGTGCGGGGCTCAGGGCGTCAGTACTCCTCTGAGTCCCAACAAGTGGGGCTCGGCTCCCCCAGAGTGTCCTGCTCGGCCGCAGCTCCTCTCCCATCTGCGCTCGCAACTGCCCGCTGCTCCCGCCGCCTTTCCTGCAGGCACGAAGCCAGAGCCGCAGCAGCGGGCCTCCGTTGGAAGCACCCGTGCTTTGAGCGCCCAGCCGCAGCTCTGGGTGTGCCCGAAGGATGCCGAGCCTGACACAGAGCCAGAAGTCTCCCCGGGCGGAGAGAACGGCGGAGGCGGCGGGCGCTGCGGGGCTGTACTCAAGAGCCAGGGCTATGAGCTGGGCCCGGGTTCCCGGTTGGAAAGAGTCCGGAAGGTGGGGCTCTCCGCAAGGCTGGGGCTGCTCTTGGAGGGCGGCTGAGCAGCATGGGGGAAGGCCGCAGCACCGCCGGCGCACCAAAAGGATGGGTCCAGCCTTACCGCCTGGGGCTGCTGCAGAGGTTCAGCTGGGGGTGTGCTGAACTGAACAAAGCATCCCACCTCCAGCCCGCCCTGCTTCCCGCGCGCCAGCCCAGGGAAGCCTGCAGGGGGAAGCCGGCGGTGGCCATCGCCAGGATGGGCGCAGGTGAGCCCGTTGATGAAACAGCCCCTCGCCCAGGACTTTGGAGCCAGGTGTGGTTAGGTTAGGAGGGCGGCTCCCTGCCATCATGGATAGGTGGCTTTTTGGGGTCAGGCGGGCC